TGCCGTATCCGGCCGGAGCGACGAGACAAAAAAAGAATAAAAGTTACGCCTTCTTTCTTTGCGTGAACAATTGAGCGGCATTATGCAAATCTTCCCACATCGTGACGCAGACATGTGGAGGCGTGTTAGAACGAGCCGTTTTAGGTAGGCGTGGTTGACTCTTAACTTTTATAAAGAATATCTCTTTGGATTTGAGACTTTAGTCTTTGCAACTTTACAGATCTTCTTTATGCACCAAGAGCTTGTATCACTTCAAAGAGAAAGGAAAAATTTTAATCGCATCATATGACCCCTTTAAAAAAGAAATTCCACATCACATTTAAAATTGTGAATTAGCAGACCACTATTTTTTACTGTCAATGCCAATTTCATGAATTTATGTGGCAGGACAAGCTACTTCCTCCATTGTTTTAGAGCTGCTTACTTAGTTTGCGAGCCTGCCTCTCTTTGGCTTCAAACGCCACCTTAGTGTCCATCAGAGCTTCCAGTGCTTTGCACATCTCAGCCATGTCCTGTTGAAGCACGTCGCTTTGGCTGAGGAGACTCTCGCTCTCCTCTCTCAGCTGCTCGGCGAGAGCGGCCATCTGCGCGCTCTCCTCCTGACACTGCGCGTGCAGCTGAGCGGCCAATGAGAGCAAGCCCTCCGCGTGGCTCACCACTGAGTCCAGCTGGTCCTTCGACATCCTGTTGTTCTTCACTTCACAGCTGCTCCACACACAGTCCAGTTGGATTGTAGAGGAAGAAAAAATTATCAACCAAAAATAAAATTATAATGATTATTAATACTGATAGCCTATATGGGACTATATTTTACTAACTAAATTTGGAGTCAAATCAAATTACACGTTTGTTTTATCGAAAGAAGTTTTTTTTACATTGACTTTCAAACACCCATTTCAAAAACCCTTTTAAATAATGACAATATTTTTGTGAGTTATTCATGTAAATAACATAATTTTTGTGAATATCATGTTTTTGCTATGGCTGTTGGGTAAACAATTGAACACAATAAAACAACTATATATTTGAAGGTGAAAAGTTGAACTATGTGCTCAGGACAAAGGTATTTAATATGAATGTCAGGTTCAGGCAAGTTGTCACATGTTTTAAATGTCATTAATTTGTGTTTTTGATTGATTGATTGATTGATTGATTGATTGATTGAAAATGTACGTTGCCAAATTCAATATATATTTACAAGAAAAAAATGCAGTACATTGAACATGTTGACCGTAGGCCACTTTGTTAGGTACCAGGTTTGACTTTTGATCTGCCTTATTTATTTGTGGCATAGATTCAACAAGGTGCTAGAAATGTTCCTCAGAGATTTTTACCATATTGACATGATAGCATCACCCAGGTTAAAAAAAAAGTACACTTCCATAATGTACTTAAAGTGCTCTATTTTCAAGCAATACTTTTGTACCTAATATACTGTACAAAGATGGATTCAAGTGTACTACAAGTGGTAAATAAATACATTTTTTAAATACAAAGATAGTATGTTAAAAGCACATTTTAGTTCATATTCATGGTGTCCCAAAATAGCAGGGTTGAGTACACTTAGTTGATCTTATGTTTATCTTAAGAAGTACTAAAGAATCATTTTTAGTATATTAAGTACAAAATTAGTGCGCGGAAATAGAGCACTTTAAGTACATTATGGAAGTGTACTTTTTTTAACCTGGGCATGCAGATATTGCAGATTTGTCAGCTGCACATCCAAAGAGAAAGGAAAACTTGAAATCGCATCATATGACCCCTTTAATTAAGTTGCTGGGGTATATTTGTAGCAAAGGCCAACAATTATAGATTTTTCTTTAATGCCAAAAATCATTTGTATATTAAGTAAAGATCATGTTCTGAAGATATGTTGTACATTTCCTACCATAAATATATCAAAACTTAATTTTTGATTATAGTACTATATTGCTAAGGATTTCATTCGGACAACTTTAAAGGCGATTTTCTCAATATTTTGATTTTTTTTGCACCCTCCATACATCAATGGAAAGCTTATTTATTCAGCTTTCAGATGATGTGTAAATCTCTATTTTAAAAAAGAAGATATGTTGTACATTTCCTACCATAAATATATCAAAACTTAATTTTTGATTATAGTACTATATTGCTAAGGATTTCATTCGGACAACTTTAAAGGCGATTTTCTCAATATTTTGATTTTTTTTGCACCCTCCATACATCAATGGAAAGCTTATTTATTCAGCTTTCAGATGATGTGTAAATCTCTATTTTAAAAAATGTACCCTTATGACTGGTTTTGTGGTCCAGGGTCACAAATGTGAATCTCATGTTCCACCACATCCCAAAGGTGCTCTGTTGGATTGAGATCTGGTAACTGTGGAGGCCATTTAATTATAGTGAACTCATTGTCATGTTCAAGAAAGAAACCGGTTTGAGATGATTTGAGCTTTGTGACATGGTGTGTTGTCCTCCTGGAAGGAGCCATCACAAGTTGGGCACTTTTAAATGATGCTCAACTGGTTTAAGAGGTTACACCGCCAGCAGCAGCCTCAACCATGGATCCATGCTTTCATATTGTTTACACCAAATTCTGCCCCTACCATCTTGCCTTTCTATGAGCTCAAACCAGTCTGGCCATTCTCCTCTGGCATCAACAAGGCATTTTTGCTGCTCATTGGATATTTTATATTTATTAGACCATTCTCTGTAAACCCTAGAGATGTTATTTAAGGAAATGGGTAGGCCTATTTGAAAAGGTGGTTCTCATAATTGTCACTAGGGCAACGTGCTGTGTCTCTCTGTGACCTAAATCTCTGATGGCAGCACTAGTTTGAATCATCAGGCTCAAAGGAGGTAACAAGCTGCTGAGTGAAAAGCTTATTTTAGCGCCACTGTTACTTCACTTCTCTTATAACTTATATAAGGACATGTTCAACAGTGAAATAAATTAAACATTGCAGCCGCTGTATTTTGAAAGCTACCAATTGCAGTAGAATGCAGTGCTCATTGGAAATGCATTATTAACAGCAAGATTCCACTGTCTTGGAATTAGAGTTTACTGAATCAGACAATCCTATGTACATATTTAAAATTTCAATCTATAATTGAGTATTTTCATTCTACTCTGAATATTTGTTGAATGCATGGTTTCGATGCTTACCAGGTCTGGTGTGTGTCCTTTTCTGCAGCGCACAGTCACTCTCTTCCTCTATTATTTGTCAGCAGCAATGAGGAAACTGCTGCCCTGTCCTTCAAACACAGATTATGAACGAGAGAGGGAGAGGAGGGGAGGACGACATGCCTTGCTTGCAAGGTACTTCCCTGCAAGATTCCTGACATTCCATGCATGTTAAGAAGTAAGATTGCAATAAATTATAATTTCATTTAGACATATATTCAGTTTTACAACATTTTGTACTTTTCCTCATGATAATACTCAAACGTCCCAAGGCTTCATTGTAAAACCACCGCTAGGTGGAGCCATTGGCCAAACATTTGAGCCTGGGTAGTGTAGCACGTGGTGAGACCACTGGCCACACATTAAGCATATTTGCTCACCCACAGTGAACATTCCAAGAAATTCAAAGCTCATTGTCCGAAAATGCAAAATTATTATGCATTCAATGATGTAATGATAGAATATACATAATTTCACTGTTCATATTAAACATGTCTCCAACAAGAGCAGAGGTGTTTGCCAAGTCTGCATTGATCCAACCCTAAAAACAACTTTGGGTCATTAGCCTAGAGTTACTGAGACTAAATCCAGAATTTCACAGCATTATTAATTAATACTAAAGGATCATTCAAAGTCAAACGATGCATCTATGACTTTCAGGTTCTATCAAAACTCTATAAAACATCTGAACACTGTACAATGTGAGTTAATATTGCATACACTTGCTTGTTGTGATGATTAAGGACGTCTCTTAATATACCTGCAATTTAGGTAAATACGTTTTTTAACAAATTAATAATAATAATACAGCAGTTTTAGTAAAATACATGAATAATAATAATAATAAAGCAGTCAATGAACACATTGTTAATGGATTGACTTTATTAATAAGAGCATCATGGTCATGGCCACTGTAATCATTTCCTCATCACTGACAGATATGCTTGTGCTTGTTGAAGTATTAGCAATAATTTGGTAAGTAGAAATCCTGCAAACAATACAGGGATGCTCTTAGTGTGTGCTTTGGACTTTACCTTTTTTTATTAATATCCTCTCCTTGTGCAAGGCTGTGTTCATACATTAGTTTCTTCAGTGTTTCCATTGTGCTTGCACTGACCTACACTTATATTTTTATGCTTGTTTGCTCTTCTAAGTGTATACCACCGATGTGAATACATGGGACGGTGGACTGTTGCACTACTTTGTATTGTGTGTTCTCTATTTTTTCTCTTAACAATAGTTGTATTAAACTGAAACAAGCTTAATCCAATAACTTTAACCATTCTAACAGTCTAGGAAGGAAGGAATGTGGAGGCCTACAAATGGATGGATGGATGTCCCAACAAATCAAGGACAATGGTTTTATAAACACACTAAATTATGTGGTAATGAAAATCTAAATATGCAAAAACATTTCTGTGCGGGTTAGGTTTAAGGCCAGGGGATAGAAAATATCATTAGCTCAGTATAAAAACAATAGAAGTCGATGGAAACTCCCCACCATGATAGAAAAACGAATGTATGCAGGAGAATAAAAAGGAATACATTGAGTTGCTGCTGAACAGATCTACTTTCAATTGGCTGCAGTAGACATGAGGCTGACATAAGAAACCTCTAAGGCAGAGATAAGTGAAGTCATAAGCACCGTGCTTCTACCAGGCAATTAAAAAGAACAGGAGATTAAAAGAAGTCATTAGCCAGGACGGTGGATTAAAGCACAGTGTCAAACAGTGAGGGATTACAATTCACCAGCCTACATTCACTCATTGATCTTTTACCATCCCTTTTTATTAGGTCTAGTATTATTTAATTTTTTCACATTTTTAAAAACTTTTCCCCCTGAGGACCATTTGTTTTTGTTTTTTTCATCAGCTCTACCTTAGTAGAATTTTTATTCTTGTTTCTTTCTAATCTCTATTTAGAACTTCAGTAAATGCAGTTCACATCTCAGTCCCTTTTTCCGTAAGCTACTTGTATGTTGTCGACGCATGGATTTACAAAACTACACCAGCATGGGCTTTTTCACGTTAATGTGGAGTCGCAAAAACTGCTTCGCAATGTTAAAAGCAGGTTGCAGACGCCAAGCTTTTCATGTATAGTACATTACTTCCATGGTCAAAAGGAGGACACGCTGATCTTTTAGTTTGTTATGGACATGATATGCCAGAGATTTCAATAATAGGACATTAAGATCGATATAGGACACTGATGTTCCATGCCTATCAGTATGTTCTACTAGGTATGTACTACATATATATATATATATATTTAGGGTCAGCTCGTATCAAGTGAGTCGACTTGGATATGACATGACCGATGTATATTATTTTCATTTCAATCCCTACAACATTCTACACATTCATGAACAAATTGTTTTTCAGTGTTACACAGAGACAGAGATCAGTCTCTTCAACTTTTCTATCCTGGTTCTGGTCAAAATTCCCTGCTCTTCCTCGACTTCTCGGTCTCCCTGTCTCCCATCTGCACCCAGATGTCAATCTGCCTCTACTTTTCAAAAGCCACTTCAATCATTCTTTACATCATATTGGTTCTTTTAACCCGTGTCAATGCCATGCCCCCCATGACAGCTCTCTTCCCCGTGAATGATTAACACCGGAAAGTAAAGAGCATCTTGGTAAGTGGGTGGCCTGTCTCTCTCATCCTCCCTGGCCTCTCCGTTCTCTCTCTCCTCCACTTGTTCCTGCCCTGTCTCCTCTACGTCGTCGTCTTCTAGCCCCTCACTCTCTAATACACCCCTCCTCTCCTCATCTGGCACTCTAAACCCAAGACCAAGAAAACCCCCACCACCCTCTTCTACACGGCTGCCCATACCACCTCCGAGGCTTCTCGAGTGAAACAGGCAGGGATGGCGGCTTCTTGCGGTATGCAACCGGCCAAGAGAGAAACCGCTGCGACTAAGAGAAAGCCTACCACCAGGTCTAATGGGGAATGAGTTTGTCCCCGCAGCCATATTCCCTCTAAACCAGGAAGGGAGCGAAGAGCTGCTTGTTGAGCGCCGGCACCTGGGGCAGCTCTGAAGGAAGTAGCTAGAATTGCGTCGCACACGTGCAGCCATTGCAACTGATAACGGTGTGTTGGTATTCATATCCAAATCCATAAGCAAGGCCTCGGAGTAGCTAGGCACCATCTGCTGGTTACAGCGAATGTGCCATTCAAGTTCGGTCATATCCACCGTGTTGACCCGCGATATGACGCGCAGAGTGGGACCCCCAGTGCCATGCTCGAAGCCCATACCGTAATTTCCCGCCTCCGTATTATCATTGTCATTTGCATCCTCGTTCTCTCCGAACAGTTTCTCGACATGGTAGTGGACGTATGCAGTACGGTACTCTGCAATCACACGAAGAGGCCATGATAGCAGGAAAGCCGAGGCCAGCCAGTACACCCAGCGTCTGGTGTACCAGGGCGGTCGCAATGGGTTGGGGAAGGCCAGCATGTGTTCCCGGAAGTCGACATTTTTAAGGTGCATGCCCTCCCGTGCTTCCATATAGTCGTCCAGGCCCTCATTGTCCCCAAAGAAGCGTGCTCGCTGCGTGAGGTAGGCGGTCTCGGCGCGGGCGCTGGCGAAGCTGAAGCACTTGGTGAAGCGCAAGCGAGTGACAGGATGTTCCAACAGGCCCTGCAGCTCTTTCGAAACGTCTTTGACACCGAGATGTGAGTAATCAAACTCGGCGCTCGCTGTGTGCGTGTTGACCCGTTCATGGTACACCTGTGTAGTCGTATAGGCGTCTCCGTTTCGGTAGCGAGTCACCTGTCTGGTACGTCGTACGTAATGGTAGCTGATGGCCTTCCACCAGATGCAGGGTGTGGCTTGTTGCAACCGCTGTATCCTGTCATACACCTCACTGATTTCCACCTTAGCAAGGTTAGCTGTTTTAGAATAGCAGTGCCAGCACTCCACCAAGTAGACGATGTACAGCATGGCCAGGAAGGCTACAGGTATATAGACGTAGCCGTTGGAACACGGGCTGTCGTGGTAGAGTCGTGCATTGCCTTTGTAGAAGTAGGCTTGGTCATCAAAAGTAATTACGGTGATGCGGTATAGGGAGCACCAGCCTAGCGTGCCAAAGCAGCCGTACATGAGCAAGGTAAGCAGCAGGCACTTCCAGTGGGACTCTCTGCACAGTGAGCCACTCAGGGACTGCTTGAGGGGACGCTGCTATAGGTGGGAGGAGGGAGACCGGATGTGGATGGAAGTATAGGAAGACCAGAGAACAGAGGGTAGTGCAGATGGATTAGAAATTGAATGGGGCAGGGTTCAATAACAGATGAATTGGAGGTTATTGGACAGAATGGGAGTGAGTTGATGCCAAAGCCAAAAGAAAGCAGAGGGCAGCATGGTTGGGGGAGAACAGGAGGGAAAGAAAGGAAGGAAGAAACAAAATGTAAAAATTAGTTCCGGCAGAAATGCATACAACATACAACATTGTACAAGAACAACAAGAAATTATGAAAATATATATGTACCTATTAAACTCATGATTTCACAGCAGTCTTGAGAAAGCAGAATGCATATAATGCATTACTTTTACATTTGTAAAGAATTTAAAGGGCACCTATTATGCAAAATTCTCTTTTACATGTTGTTTGAACATAAATGTGTTGGCAGTGTGTGTACACAACCACCCTATAATGATAAAAATCCACCCGCTCCTTTTTTTTAATCCCAATAAATCATAAGTGGTGTCTCAGAATAAGCCGTTCGCATTCGCAGAATCCATAAAATATGACATCACATTTTACAAGCCCCACCCACGACTGTTGACGGACACTGCTGTATTAGCAGAGGCCCTGCCCTTCACACTAGAGCTTTTAAAAGCAGCATTCAAGTAAGAAAAGTCTTCTAATTAAAGCTATAGACGTTATTCAGTACAGAGTAGTGAGTGATTTTCTGCTTTTATTTTATTGTTTGGATCACATTAACAGCGGAGACAGCAGTATTGGTAGTGTATATTATGCTGCTGTCAGTTAATACACAGATCTCAAATAAACATGCAATTTCTTTCCCAGCTGTTAACCTTCACAGACATAACCGACTGTGTTTTTGTAACTTAACGTGCATGTATTTGACAGTTTAAGCGCAATAAGCCATGAAAGAGAACTTAGTTTAAGGCTCACATGCCGTGTGACAGCCACTTTCTGTGTGCGTGCTTCAGATGTGTGTGCTCAGAAAACCGTATATCAGAAATTTAAACTGATATGGCTTTAAAGCTCATGATTTCAGCGTGATAGACATCATAATCAAAACCAAACAGATGTTTTTTAGCAGAGTATCTGACGTACAAGCTGTGAAGGCACAGCCCTATTCTGGAAAAGGAGACGGGGAACAGCAGCTCAATTGCATTTAAAGACACATGCATGACCACAGCGTGTTTCTGCTTCCACATTCCACACACAGCATTTTCAAAATGATATAATAAACGATCTGTGTGGTATTTTGAGTTGAAACTTCACAGACACATTCTGGGGACACCTGAGACTTATATTACATCTTGTAAAAAGGGGCATAATAGGTGCCCTTTAACACTTATTTTCTATCATATTTTTTCTACAGACCCTCTAGGACTCCTTTGCAGCCTCATGGGGGTCCCCGAACTCTAGGTTGAACCCCTGTTTTAGATGATTCAGGGAACTAGTATATTTCATTTGTATTACAACATGCACAGCTGAGTGAATCACAGCCTGCTATATATCCACTCTGACATGCAGCAGAGAACTCGGTAATAGATCATTCATAGATCATTCTCCTGAGGGCTGAATACATTTCCTGGCTGCTCGTAACCCAAACCATGTCTCCTTTTAAAACGCTCTGTATGACTGTGGAGGGGAAGTCTAGATGCTTTTAGACATCATTGAGTGCATCATCTCAACTAAATGCATATGGATCTCTACTGCCTACTCTGACCCCAGTGGCGGCTTTTGGTATTGTGGCCATATGTGCAAAAGATGAACTGGTTCCAAACTAGCAGGAGGGAGAAAAAACAAACCATACAGTTTCTCTGAAAGGCATGGCACAAAAAGATTAGGTTTTCTACGGTTGGTCTGCAGTATTTTATTTTTTCGTCCTTTCTTTGTCCTTTTTCCCTGCTGTCTCTTCTTTAGCAACATCACATACACACTCTCTAATACACACACAGATACTTACACACATAAATCAGCTAATAGTACGAGCAATGCCCTTGCTGTGGGAAACTGCAGCACTAAAAGCAGGCTGCAGCCCAAAAATGGCATGGAGGCTGCGCTCCTCTTGGCAGAAGTTTAATTGTTTCTTTTACAAGGACAAGAGAGCAAACTGGGATGGGAGAGATAGAATCCATTAGGGCCTGCAGTGAGCTTTACCATGTGCACAAGCTGATATCTATGCATGTTTTTAATAATGGCGACTTGAGCCATGAAACATGATAATACAGCATATTATATAAAAATAATATTCCCATATATACACACATATAGGTTTGTATGTCTGTAAATTTTGGGTTACAAAGTATCATTACTCCTTCAAATTTCAATAAAATATGCAACCTTATCACAAATGAATTATTTATTCACTACTAGATGCTTTCACTGCACAGCATCTCAGAGACGTGCAGTTGTGGGAGGGTGAGAAGCTAGTGTTGGTACCACAAGAAAATGTGTCCTAAGAGATGTGAATGATATTCAGTGAGATTCAATACTGGAGGCTGTGATTAGGACACTTGCATGGCAGTGATGTATAAATAGTGGATAAAGTTTGCTCAGAGCCACTCTAATAGGTTAAATTATTTAGATGCCCTGAGAATGTCTGCAGTCATATGATCATGTGTATTTGAATGCTTTTTACATGAGAGGCAATAATAATAAAATAATAAAATCAAGCCCAAGTGTAAGTGTTTTCCTGCAAGTGTGTATGAGTCAATACATTATTTGCCCTCTTGGGAAAGGGGATAAGACAGTAAAAGCAAGTGGCTGTTTGTTTTCACTCAGTTTACTTGCTGGTTGTGCATAAAACCTAAGTTGGGAACCGAGAAACAATCATATTCATATTGAATATATATAATACTGTTCATATTCAGGTTTTATTAGGTTTTTACATTATTCGTACATTTTTGTATGATCTGCTCACACCCCACACTCTCAGAAAAAAAGTACAAAATATGTCACTGGGACAATACCTTTTCAGTAGGTACAGTTTTAGATTTTTTTTTACTCCTAAAGGGAGCATATTAGTACCTTAAATGGTACTAATACTAATATCTTTACGATTCCCATCTCTGCTAGAGGCTTTCCTTTCATTTCTATTTGTGAGTGCAATATTTTGAGATGAAGGACACTGGACTTATAAAATATTCAGTCTGAACAAATGATATTGAGAGTGAAATGCATCAGTGTTTGGGCTACAGAGCACACTAATCAGTGCATAGCTAGTACACGAGAGAGACTAGTTATGAGTTAGAGGCGTGTGGATATACTAACGATGGTAAATAGCAGAGGAGAAAGGGATACTCAAAAATTAAAACAGGAAGGTCTGAGTGCCCTCTTAAAGTCTTAATTGCCTTGTCAGCATATACATCTATTTCTATTTGACCAGGCGAGTGCTCACTGAGATGCGTTAATCCACAAAGCAACACGAACGAAGCATAAAGACTCATTGGCAGAGACACTGCCCTGTACGAAGCAGAGAACAGCTGAAAGACAGACATTGTAAACTGAGAGCTGTCACTAAACAGAAATAGCTGCAGCTAAAATTATTGATACGTTTGTATGTGACAATGTAGCACAAACATTATGAAAACTCAAAAATGATTACAAAAACTTCCCATCCCCCACTGTCTCTCAGCCTATCGATCGGTCTGTAACAGTATATGGGGGGTAAACTCAGCAACTGAGGGTGTGAGTGAGAGAAAGAATAGAGAGAAGGCTTGTACTGTCACAAAGAATACATTTAAAGTAATGCAAGGCACTGTGTGTGCTGTCAGAAAAGTGTGTGTGTTAATTATTGGATTTTCTTTAATGAACTTCACACTGGATGAATAACTGTCCAGAAAATAATGAACGCCTCCACTGAGACCTGACCTCCAGTTATCTAAGATAAACGTTGTGAGCCAGATGGGAAAAGTCAAAGTGAGAAAATCTGAGTGCAAAGAAAACCTAGATTTCAATGCACACATTTAAGGTGATGTAGTTTTTTACTTTTAAAATATTTTCTTCTATCTAACTTCATATAAGTAAGCAATTTGCAGATTGGTTTCTCTGAAAATGTCATTTTTTATAACAAACAGAAGGCAAATAGCTATATGAACGTATTTAGCCAATCCTCTCTGTTTTAGATGCATGATATCATTCTTTCTATTACAGATCTGGCAAAATAGAGAAACGGAAATAATGGGGGGTGCATTCTCATCTACTAGCTTTCATCGTTCCTATTGGTGACATAGCATATAGACAGGTTACAGGCCCCTCCCCTTAATAAACAGGCAATTCCAATCCAGATTAAACAAAGTCAAATGTCTTAAGCAAATACTGGTAAGTCTCAAAAAAATATCCTACCACCTTTTTTTAATGCACTAAGCAATGCAGTGTTAATGCACAGCATGATTTCACATAAGGGAGTATTTCAAAATAATATTTTCTTAATGTGATTAGCTCTCTGCTGTACCAATTTTCTTTACTTTGCAACCGCATTTATAATGGTAATAAAATAGATAAATATGAAGGTGACTTTGAATAAACAAAAAAAAGCTTTTGCTTGATCACACCGCATTTGGTAGTAAGAGTCATATAAATTATTTGCATGTAATGAAAGTCTGTTAACTAGAAGCATCATTGGTTATTGATTGTAGATACAGCTCATCTGTGTTTAGATGTTTAGTTTTTTTTTGTATTTGTGTATAGGCCTATCCTTAATATTTAACATCTAATTAAAATAAAGGAATTTAGGCTCCTAAATAAGCTAATTTTATTAGATTGTCACATAGTGTGATAATGTGCAGTGTAATAACATTTTTATTTAAACATATTTTATTCTGACATCAGTAAAAATGAATAGCAATCACTCGCACTATAGCCTCAATAAAACCTTTTGATTCATTTCCTTTCATTCTTGCACACTGTTGCCTACAGGCAAGAGAACTAAAAAATTATGTATTATTTCTGATTTTGTCCTAGTATTAATGATTTCATAATGCATGCAACAGAACTGTGTAGCAAAATATCTATAAAATATAAAACGTAGGCTATAATATATATATATATATATATATATATATATATATTGTCCTAGTATTAATGATTTCATAATGCATGCAACAGAACTGTGTAGCAAAATATCTATAAAATATAAAACGTAGGCTATAATATATATATATATATATATATATATATACACACACACAGACACATGTCTACGATATTTTCTTTTCATCGCATTTCACCTTCTACATATTCAGAAGACATGCAATACATCAAGAAAGAACTCGTGGTTTTATTTACCAACATTTTCACGCCTTACCTCCTCCCTTCCGCCCCCATTCAATGTGGGCGCTTCTCCCGTCACAGTCACGCCTTGCATTTTTCACTAACATGTATTATGACGGCACACACAGTCCAGGATGAAAAATAGCGCTGCGGTCCACCGTCAGGACCTCTCCGTAACCTAGTTCACCCCATCAGCGGCGAGTGCCACCACGTTTCTATGGTGGCGACGTTCAGTACAAAAGAGCATCCCCAAAAGAGGCGTCCGTTCCCTTTCGTATCTTACAGAGGTTATCACCTTATCCCAGTAGCGATTCTTCTGGATTCTAGTCCGGTCAAGGATCAAGAATAACGGGTAACTGTTGCGCTTGATTTCCCCTCAGTCTGTGTGACAAAAGCATCGCAAGCTCGAGACGGAGCGATGGCTGGACAGCAGCGCGCGCATCATATTCGCGCCTCGCGATGCACAGCCGCTCTGTCGAAGGCTGCCGATCACCGTGTGTCGTAATCAGTGGCGGCGAGATTAATCTTTGATTATATTCTCTCTACGTTTTAATTTAACTCGAAATGATGAAATGACGGAATCCTCAGACTCTCCTTCCCGAGCATCTCGTATTTTCCACCTCAACCTCCTTTCACCTGAACGGTCTCCTTGCGGACTTCACTCTGACGTCATCCTTAAACGCGCCTTCAAATCCTAATAATTGGCCAGTTCGTACCAGCCCGCTGACAGCGTGTGCAAGCCTATGGTTTTAAATTTAGGTCCTATTAGTGGTTTAGTTTTCGTTTAGCCTAGCTTATTTAATAGTAATACATCGTTTTTATATATAGGCCTATCTACAAGTTTAAAGCTGCAGTAGGCTATTAACTAAAGACAAACGGGCAACCCTTGTCTTATTGAATGTGCACTAACAGTGAAGGCCTACTTCAAATCTTAAGCAGCCTATATAAAAACCTTTGCAGATAGTTTAACAGACTATTAATTATAAGCTATAAAATACCACTTTTACTTAAAGAGCATACACGATTGTGACTATTTAAGAACACTTTTTAATAATAGGGATTTACTGTAAAGTAAAACGTTTAATTATTTTTGACTATTATTTTGACTAGAATTTGACTGTTTTAATAAATACACTTATTTTGATGTGTACATGTAACATATTTAACTGTATACTGTTATTATAGCCTACACTCTAAAAAATGTGGGGTTGTTTCAACCCAACTTTGGGTCAAATATGGACTAACCCAACTTTTGGGTTAAAAATGTAATTAAAAAATGTAACCCAACAGCTGGGTTAGTCCATATTTGACCCAAAGTTGGGTTGAAACAACCCCACATTTTTTAGAGTGTACATTTAATGTAATAGACTATTTTAAATGTAGCTACTAAATTGTAACGTTATAATTACAAATATATTTAAATAAATTTTTAATAGAAATTACATTAAAGTAGACTATTTCTAGTTTAAAAATCAATAATAATACATTTTATGAAATGACACATAAAGATGTACATAAGTCCTATATAAGTATGTGCAGACAAAAAAGCTCTCTTAAGTTCAACTATTTGAATTTAATAAGGCCTATAAATTTAAATTACAATACATTACAAATAACATGCAATTAAGTCTCCAAAAATATTACATGCGGTTTAAAGTATACTTGATAATAAGTATTTTTTAAGTAAGCTAAAATGTAGGCAACTTCACTTTCACAAGAGAATATGTTCAAAACAAACAAAAACATACCAGAATTTTATTTTTGTGTGTACAATGACTTTCATACGCTTGAGCATATTCGATACAATACATTCAAATAATTTTCCTAATTCCAATAATTCTATAAGGGATAAGCAGATAAGCAGTAATTCTGCCTAGAATTACTGACTTACAAAAGTGCATGTAGAGTGGAAGAAAATGATTAATCATAATTCATCAATAACTAGGTCCTCTATTTTTTTCTTCAGCACTTTATGTGGGGGGTTTCGAGTGAACACGGTGATGTGTTGCCTCCAGATGTGTAACCTGTCAGTTTATGGTTGCTTTTTGTCATTATGAGTCTCTGTGCATGTTCAGCTAGAAGATGATTCTGCAGACCGTTCCGTGTCTGTGCAGTCAAGCCACACTCCTCACACACATATAGTTTGTCCCTACGCTCTTTGTAGGCATATTGTTGAGTAACAGCATGGATCTTCCTCAGGTGAGATTCTAAGGAGCAGCGCTGAGTGAAAGCTTTAACACACAAAGTGCACTTATAGGGTCTCACACCTGTATATTGTAAGTTGAGAGGAAAGTTAGAGATGAAAATATACAAACTTGCATATTTAAGCATGTAAATGTACTTTTTTAATTTAAATGCAAACTTACCCGTATGAGTGCGTACATGCCTCTTCAAGTCAAAAGCATCATTAAATCCTTTTCCACAGTGCTCACAAGAGTACTTTTTTGTTTCACTATGGCACTTCACATGGCGTTTCAGCATACGTGCTGTAGTGAATGTCTTCTGGCACACCTGGCAGGACAACACTGATGCAGCGGGTGGTATATCTGCTAATTTGTTTGCATTATCTGGGATGACTGGAGATGGCATATTACCTGTAGTTATCTGAAAATGGGAGAAGAATGGAGAGAGATGTTCTTGACACACATACACACACAAAAAAAAAATCATTAAAATGTGTTTTAAACCAAAAGAACTGTCTCACCTTTATCTTTGAGTGTGAGTAAGGCAGTCTTTGGGTCCTCATGTGGCATTCTGGCTTGTGATCAGGATGACCCTGTGCAGCAGAAGATGGCAGCTGTGCAGACAACACATGTGATTGAACCTGTAGAAATGTGTTGTTTTTTTGTGCAGTTGTGAAGCAGGAGTACTCTGCAATGCTGCCCTCCGAGACTTCATGCACGTATGGTGGGAAAATGGACTCTATAGGGAGCAGCAAGAGCAAAGAGATTTTTATTAATAATAATAATAATAATATTTTATATAGCGCCTCTCTGCAAACTCAAGGTCGCTTTACAATAACAGAACAGATGACAGCAGACAGAAAAACAGAATACAGATAAACATGAAATCCATGGCATGAAACCGATCATACAGTCAGAGATCAGAGAAACAAGAAATTAAAAGATATGTTTTAAGGTGGGTTTTGAAATCTTGTAAGGAAGAAAGATCACGAATGTTTGGGAATGTGTTTTTAAGTCAGAGCAGAGAGAGCAACAAATTTTGACTGGTCACTGTGTTCAGGTACGCTTTTTTTAATTCCTCATTTAGTTCCATGAATTAAGTTCTGTTTTTTATTATTATTATTTAAAGTATGAAGTCTTTAAAATAATTTAATGCAAGTAATCAGTGCAACATCACAAGTTACCACAATATCAAGTAATTTATAAACATTTTAAAATAAAAAACTGTATAAAACAATTTTACTCAGAATACCTTACCATAACATTTTATATAACGAGAAAGTAGTTTTCTTAGTTTAGTCTTTGTCAAGTGATTTGTTTCCAACAACAACCATCGTCAATATAGGCCAATAATTAATTATGTAATAAAGTAATTATGCATTAAGTATTCAATTCTGTTAACTCCCCATGCACGCAGTGACACGCGAACACGATCGAGACACTCACCAGGTATGTAAACGTCCCCTCGCGCGGAATCCGGAATCTCACTCCAGCTTCTTTTTTCAGCAGCGATGTTCACTTTTTTGACCAGGAATGCGCGAGGCATTTTCGAAAACGCTAGCGAATGATTTATCTTCGTTTAAGTTCCTAGATATGTTTTAAGCGGATCCTCTCGCAACCTACAATTCTACAGTTATCCACAATTCAACTATCGCTTTCCTTATAACAAGGAAGCCGCCAGGTGAGGTTGCGCATGCGCAGAAATATAACGGCGCAGTGCAGTTAGGCCTACAGGTAAAACCGGTTCTCAAAGTAATGTTAATGTAACCTTAATGAGAAAGGTAAACGGTTTTAAATATTAACATGTTCGTGTTAGTTTAACACAGTGTAATGTAATGTTAGTCCATTTAGCCTAGGCTATATTATTTTTTGAAGCATGTCTTCAGGTTTTCTGTAGGGTGTGGGTCTGCTCCTTTGTTTATGTAGCCTATGTTGTCTGTCTGTCTGTATGGAGGTGGGTGTGTGTTGTTTGGGTGTATTGCTGTAACAGTAGGCCATCAGCAGGGGGGCAGGCGTGTCCTGTCGCATAAATTAGTCTACTAAAGTTTTAAGACACCGTTAGTTATTAAAATATGGATATATATGGAATATGGAAAGAGGACCAAGGAACTGGTGCGTTCCATGTTGCTACATTTAGACAATACAGTTTACTTTGTAACCATACTGTAATGCGTTTAGTTCACATCAAACCTTTGTATGCAAATTAGTTTGCAGCATGTTAATGTTTTAAAAATCTGATAAGAGTGAACAGCCCTCCCACAAACACACACACACACACACACACACACACACACAATGAAAACACAAACACACCTCTTATCTCTATCTGTTTTTAAAGTACACTGAAAATGAATACAGTGATCATACACAATGTGTCTGTGCTCTTTGTTGATGCTACATCAGTGGATAAAAGGGAATATAGGTAGCCTACTTTTAGACAAGGTTTATTTTAATACATAGCAGGAAAGCAGTTTTGCATGAGACCGGGTCACTCTTTTTACTCTAGTGAATATGTAGGTTTAAGCCACTTTCAGTACAGGCATACCTTCATGTACAAATTAAATAAAAATAAAAATAGCGAAGCATGTCACAGCCTGGCATTAAACAGCCCATTAAGCTTTTCGGCAAAATGTAGGCTAATCATTAAAACAATTTTGAAACATTTAACACTTAGATAAGTAACAGCTAGGCTATTATATGGGGGAAAACATTGTCTTGGCCAACAGTTTGTAAGAAATAAATTGCATACACATATTATTATATAAACATATAAGCTAATTAAAAATAGGCCTGTTGTATAAACTTTTGAAAAATTTTAAAGCTTGCCCAGATATTTACAATTCTCAATATTGTATTAATAAATAATAATAAACAATTTTTAAAAAGTTTTGGAAAACATAAGTGTTGTTTGTCTGTAGAATATATGGAAGTGGAAGATCTCTTTTAGAAAAACGGATAAACGTGAACTGGACCTATTGGACAAATGAGGCTTCCGTAGTTTGAAAGAGCACAAACATGGCGTCGACCTGGTGCCGTTCAAATAGCTCAGCATGTTAGATACAATTATTGTGTCAAAATATACAGATATGTGTCATGTTTGAAATGTCAGTATTTCAGAGAATTACTGAAAAGTATTCGTTTTGTTAAACCATGGGTATTCAGTGCTTATTGTTCGGTCTAAGGTCCTGTCGAACATTTATTTCAGCTTATCGACTGACAGGTATTCAGTCTTCGAGAGCGCTCGTGTCTACAGCGACCCAGTCCGTTAAAGTCAATTATATCACAAGCATCTTGAAGCCACTACGTTGCTTGCGCGTTAATTCAGTCAGGAATGCCTATACCTTTACGTCTACTGCCGTCGCAAAGGACGTGATTCTCTTCGAACACGACCGGACGCGTTTCTTCAGACTTTTAGCCATATTTTGTGGCGGCCAGTTTATCTTCTGGGCATATCTGGCTCACTTTGCTTTCACAAGTCTTCGAGACACAAGAAAAAATAGTGGTGAACCTCAAAAGGTCAGAACTGAGTTAGGAGGGCTTTTCAGTTTTGATATGAACCTTGGTTCAAATGCCTGGAGGTATGGATTCACTCTTGGGTGCCTAATTATTGGTAAGCCTTAACTCTGCTTTTTGACAATATTGCATTTTTATGTATTTCAGCTCTCTAAATATTATTTTTCTGTTGTAGGCGGAGGAATCGTTGGCCTGGCAGTATTGTTCAGCCGTCGTTCTGTGAGTCGTGTAATTCTTCATAAGGGAGGTGGAAAAGTCACAGTATCTACACAGTCACCGCTGGGACCTCTCAGAGCTCACCATCTAACTGTGCCTTTGACTCAAGTGACCTGTCATGCACACAGACAGGAATCACCTTCATTTATCCCTCTTAAAATCAAAGGGTACAAGTTCTACTTCCTCTTGGACAAAGAAGGGACACTAAACAACCCTAAACTATTTGACATTACTGTTGGGGCCTACAGACCCTTATAATATGTCATACATACCCTTGTGAGTTTGCAGTCCTCTGTTGATGTATCATACATGTGCTGTTCGTTTTGGTTTATGTTGCCTTGTGGTGGTGGGGGGGGGCACTGAATTTAAAAGAGGAATAAACCGTGAAACTTTTCTGTTCATAATAAAACTTTTTACCTGGGATTTGTGCTGACAAGCTCATTCTGCCATCTGAATTATGACACATGCTTAGTCATACGGGTCTGACTAAGATAAAATTATAGTTCTGTCTTTGCATTTTTTCAGCAGCATTGATGTCTGACTCAGTTAAGTAAGGAGTAATTGACGATGGGCCATTGAAGTATTAGAAGGTAATGCACACCCGAGGTGGTAATGCAGCCACGACATGAAGTGGAATGACCGTTACACCTCAGGTGTGTTATTTTCTAATAATTCGATAGAACTGGGTAGAGTCAATTATTCCGCTTATACTAAAGTTACCACACCTCAAGACGTTGTTCAGATGTTGTATTTCAAGCGTTTTGTCCTTAAAACGTTCTTGTTTGCTCTTGTTTAGTATAATTGAAATTATACTACGGGGCTGTTAAATACTTGAAACTAATTGGATGACAAACGCTCTAATGTGTGAACACTGTTGAGAGACACACTCTCTAATAATGACTAGCTCTGAAATGACATTTTGGAATTAGCAATAGAGGCGTAGAATGAGATGCATAAGAAATGAGTCCTACAAATTCTGCTTCGTCTATCTATCTATCTATCTATCTTACACTCTTAAAAATAAAGGTGCTTCACCATGCCATAGAATAACCTTTTTTGTCTAAATGGTTCCATAAAGAACCTTTAACACCTTTAACCTTTCCTTTTCACAAAAGGGTCAATATCACTGTAGGGTGACTTTTGGCGTCCTACTCATTTGCCATGATAACTTAGCATAAACATGACTAAAATGGTGTGTTATATTAGGCTAAGGTTTTATAGGCTATTCATAACAAAAGCATTACTTGGCTATTTAGATACATTTTCTAGATTTTTTTTTAGTTTTGTGTAAGAGGGTCCGTGTTATTTTGCTATGTCATGCACTGTTCATTAAATTTGAATGATAGTAGAATATTGTCAAATCATAAAATTTAAAAAAATGTGTTCTCTTAATATTTTGTTAAATAAGAGATTACTCAATTTGAGTCTATTGATCATTTGGTAATAAAAACGATATTTTTATTTAATAAAAAAGAGTTTGTCCATGTTGCTTGAATGGTTTGTCCACCCTGTCGTATTGGGGAATCCGCCCTTTTAAGAAAAGGCCATCCACTTTAGTGACATCAGGACAACAGATTTTTTTTGTCTCTTCAGTGGTGGGAATTTTAATGGCTGAGGTAAGTTGGTGACTTTTCAACTGACAAATTTTCTTTTTTCTTCTTTGCCAAAGCTTAACATGTCCACCCTGTCAGCATAAAATATGCCAGAAGTGATTAGAATACAGTATTTTCAAAATATGTAAGTTTAAATATACCAAATTGTCTTCAACAACCAGACTAAATATTTAGCAAGTCACAGTACCGTGATAAAAGCATTAGCAATTAATCGCAACATGAAAATTTGATACCGGCATATACCTAGTGGACATACACATGACAGGGTGGACATAGCATTCATTTGTAGTTAATATTGCTAAAAACTAAACTAAACACATATCAATGGGATTGAGGTTGTAATTTTATTATTTATATTATTTTTTTCGAAGTTGAATAAATGTTTCATTGTCATATTTTGTCATGCTTTGTGTGTTCTGCATTATGTGTCCACCCCATTATGTGCTGGTCAACCCTGTCATCTTGATATTTTACAATAATATTTTAAATAATAATTGAATCATATCTATATAATCCAGTGTGTTCAATAGGTGTGGGAATAGTACTTGAGTGTCTACTATTTATGACATGACATAAAGCGAATGGGAGATTAAAACCAACATTTTTGAGTATTGTGAGTGTTGAAAGTCACTCTAGTGATATTGACCCAAAAGGTTCTTTGTGGCGAAAGAAGGTTCTTCAGATTATAAAAAGGTAAGAAAGAGATGGTTCTTTAAAGAACCTTTAATTGAATGGTTCTTTGTGGAACCAAAAATTTCTTCTATGGCATTGCTGTGAAGAACCTTTTAAGCACCTTTATTTTTAAGAGTGTAGTTTCAAGACATTTTTAGGGTTACTCTATTGACCAACAAAATGTGCCTAAAAATGTGTGATATTGTAAAAATAGATGACCCTGACACACAGATACAGTGATCTAAAAACAATTGATTTGGTTGATAAAAGTTATATAGATAGGCAGACAAACGATAAACATTTTAAAATAAACTTACTAAAGTTATTTTTTTTTTCCATTAATCATTGAATATGTATGCCTGATGCACAAAAACTGAAATAATTGTTATTAAAAAGAGATTTTTTTTTCAAGTCTTTTTTCCTCATTTTAATGTATTCTTGAATTCAGTACAGACCAGCCCGCCATGAAACATTGGCATGTATCTGTTCTCTACCCAGTGCAGTGATTCACGGATGTTCTACCAGTTCCGCAACGGTTCGCTTATTCATACATTTCAAACCTACACGTCACTTGGCAAAAGATGTCTGTAAGTGAAATTCAACATGTGAAGGGTGTGAGCTATGGAAGCTTCTGTAGCTCTCAAACAACAAGGACTAAATTTAGGATATTTACTTCGTTTCCTAGCGAATATCATTTCAGTGACAATTATTTGGCGCTGTTGGCAAGAAGGTCTTCATAACTGAAAGACATTAGAAACACATTAGTGGCCACAGAGGAGAAAAGGCGGTAGATTGGAAAAGATAGATGCTCCAGAGATGGGGAGGAGAGAGAGAGTGGGTGTGAGGAGGCGCTGAAACACTTTAAGAAAACTTGTAGCACGTGTTTTGATTTATTTTTTCATCATTCGCTCTGATGGATTTATCCTAGTTTTGGCTACCGAATTTGTGCCTTTGTGGGCCTGTTTTGCAATTAACAACACGGGAGATGGGTTTAAGCGAACAGAAATAATATGAACTCAAAGAATACGGATCGGGTTTGATCATAATGAATCATAATGAAGGAAGAGAATCGTATTATCGTATGCATGATTCCCAAATTTCTCCAGCATGGATGGACCCGGAGAACTCAGCGGCTCATCACGTGCGTCCGGTACGTATTTGTTTATTTATTTATTTATTAATATTTTAAGATATTTAGTGTCATATATTCTTAAAATCAACCAAATCTAGAAGAAATACAATAGAACAGGAAATAATTGTTAGCTATTTTGAATATGAAAATACTTATAATTGAGCCTAAATGTGTATAATTATAACCATTGTTACATTTTTTATTCTATTATTTTTTGTTATTTAATTTTTGCAGAATCTTACTGAGGGCACTACATCCAGCCCAAATCTTGATGTAATTACATCTAGTCCAGATCTTCAGTGGCTTCTGCAGTCCTCTCTACTTTCCCAGTCAGAGACCAACTTGGGAACATTTTCCTCATTCACACCCACCACCATGCCCAACTGCCCCTGTTTGTCGCAGTGCTCCAGTCCTGACCCGTCCTGTAATGGAGCAGTGGGGGACAGTTCAGTAGGACATGCTAACAAACATGTAAGTTATTGGAATTTCTGATATTTTCAGAGTTTAGAATGCAGAAAATAGTGAAAGTAAACTTGAGGGGTTCCGGTGATTCTTTCATTTATGGTAAACGAGTGAAATGACTCACACCTGAATCACAATGGGGCATGTGGAGTGAGTCAGCGCTGTAGTATTTGAGCGGGAATCTTAAAGCGCAGGCTCAGAAGGATGGATCATGTTGTCATTGGTGCCAGTGGATGAGTAACAGGAACAGCATATTTGGAATTGGGTAGAACTGCTGTGTGTAGGTTTTCTTGATATCAGCCATAAGATGGCAGCACCATCACTCTTTTAGACTGAAGCTTGGTTGTTAAATAAAATGTGGAATTGCTTTGCTAAAACCCTCTCGGCATTTATAGATGTCCTCTGAGGAACTTGACAGGATAAGGATCCGCAGGGAAAGGAACAGAATAGCAGCTGCCAGGTGTCGGGACCGTCGTCGGATGCTTATAGACACGTTACAGAATGTGAGATTAGTACTTATTTGTGTTATAGACCATGTTTAGCCATTAGCCGTATGTCCTGAGCTTGTGCTTTCTCTTTCAGGAGACGGATCATTTGGAACATGTGAAGACTCAACTGGAGGAAGAGATCGCTGCACTTGAAAGGGAGAGAGAGAGGCTGGAGTTGGTTTTTGAGGCACATATGCCCATCTGCAAGTTAAATGACCTAAACCCAGAATAATTACTGATGCTGGTCATGTTTAGTGCTGAGTCTGCTGGTTCAGATCAGCTGTGGATTATATAACATAATAAGCGTATATTTGTTAAAGAAAGCGAAATGTTAAAATCTATTTCAGTGATACCTTGAGAATTATTATCTTGCATGTACAATTTGTTTCACTTGTTTTCATAATAAACTACAGATTCAAATGTTGTTGCTTCTCTATCTAATGATTGTTTGTAGGGTGTAGCAACAGGTGTAGACCTTGTTTGAGTGTAAGCTCCATATATTATGTTTATTATTGAGCTAATATACGTATATATGCTGTTCAAAAGTACAGTAAAATTAGCAATGTTTTGAAATATCATTACAATTGAACTGTTTTCTATTTTAAATTTATTTTAAAATATAATTATTCCTGTGATCGCAAAGTTGAATTTTCAGCAGCCGTTTACTCCAGTCTTCAGCGTTTTTCAGAAATCATTTAGAAATTGTTCCTCAAGAAACATTTATTTTATTATCAGTGTTGAAAAAGGGTTGTGCCACTTAAAATATTTTTGTGGAAATTGATATATATATATTTCAGCATTCTTGGATTAACAGAACATTTAAATAAACAGCATTTATCTGAAATTACATTTTTGAAACAATACATCTTTACTGCCAGTTCAGTCCTGCTTCATAAAACTTAATTTCTTTTAAACTGTGACACCAAACTTTTAAAGAGTTGTATATAGCTAATAGAAATGTGTGAATAATATTCTTTTTATAAATATTATAAAATATATTAAATATAGAAAATATAATATTACATAGGCCTATTATTATATTAAAACCTAATAAAATATTAACATTTAATAAAAATATATTAAAAAATTATATCACATTTTATAAATATTATATGTTACATTCACTATCACAATTTTATTTTTTTATTTTTTTACAAAATATCACTAAATTATATGATTATTCCAACATCGACTGAAGCTCCACTTTAACATTACAACAAATAATAACTTTGGGGAGAAAATCAATACCCAAGCAAAAATTTCTTCCAAGACTTGGTTTGATAATGTGCAGACTGAGTCAAGTATTAACATTAAATATAATTTAATTGACCAAAAATGCCTTAATACATATTTCATTACTCTGTTGTTGTAAGTTTAGCTGTTGCCGAATAAAGTAGGCTACTTGAGTATGTAAGTCTGAGCCAGAAACATTACACAAACACAAAATTAAAATAATACAGCCATTAGGTTCATGTATTTCTGCACATTTTGTGTATCTATTTTTGTTTTGGTTACGACATTGTGCTTTGTTTATTCCTTAACAGCAGGTGGCAGTCACACATTAGCAGACGCTCAATAACGCCGAGTGAACGCTCGACGGAGGGCAATGTCAATGGTGATTGTAGTTCAGATTGGGTTAAACCAGAAACTGGATCCAGACGATTGTGAGGAGTTTGACAGCTTTGCACATATTACAGTATCAGTCAGCGTATTATTTGTTGTGTTAATGCATAAAGCGCGTAAAGAGATCAGCAGTGCGACAGCGATACCGCAGACGCCTCTCTGCAGTATTTTAACATCAGCTAACAGTGTCTTCTTTGACTTACTTTCCAGTGCAAAACATTAATAAACGGTACGTTTTCATCATCAGCTTGATGTCATCTTTCTTTGAGCAAGATTGTAACCTAAGCAGGTTACAGTTCTCATGTATCAGTTTAGATTGCTTTTTAAATCTGCACATCTTATAAAAACACCTATAACATAAACAGTCTATTACAACAGTTTGTGTAGCAAATGCACTGTAAAAATCCATTTGGAGATTCCATTTGTTGTTACAAGTCAAGGTTATGTTTGACCACAGAAATATTACAGCATAGTAATTGTTATTATTATTTTAGTACTAATTTATTAGCATTAATTTACAGAAATGTTGTCAGTGTACAATACTTATAAATATTAAATTATTATTATTATTATTATATTCACATATATTTATTTTATTTTATATTATTACAACAACATTTCTGTAAATAAATATGTGAATAAAATAGGTTTAATATTAAATAATTATTATTTTATTCACATATTTATTTACAGTAATGTTGTTGTGTACACTACTTAAATATTAAATAATAATATATTTTGTAATTAATTTGTTAACTAATTAATTCATTCATTCATTAATTCATTCATTGGCAAGGAGATGTATTGTTTGAACCTTTCTACCATTTTCTCAGTTGTGTGTTTAAAGTGGTGGAAGAGCTAAAAGGCCCCCTGGTGGAGAACACTCAGCGTCACTTTCTCCTGTCTGATGTTCTGACAAGGTGAGACTTTCACGCATGTGGCCAAATGAAGCATATTGCTAGTGCTATAAAAAAGCAGCTGTCCCACCTATTGAAAATTGTGACCATTTCTAGCTTTCCAATTCAGGGGACGTAAATGTGAGCCAAACACAATATTTCGTACCTGTTCTTGTGATAAAGATGATTTACAAGAGGTTATGTACTTCAATACTGTAAATGCATGTGTGCTATTGTGACTTAATACAACCAGCTTCACCAGTGAATGCTTTTAGAGTTATAATTGAAAGCAATCGTAAACCTAGAGAACACAAAGGCACATCTTAAAACGTATGTTTCTGTTGTGTTCATCCTCTTACTGTTTTGCTTGGTCTCTCTCCTCCATTCATCTTTCTCCTCATACACTCTCTTCTGTTCCTGGCACACTTTTCACACTCTCCCTGTCCTCTCACTGACTCAGCCATGTCTCTCTGCAGGGACTATGCTGCCATAGTGTTCTTTGCTAACAGCCGTTTTGAGACAGGGAAGAGAAAGCTACAATACTTGTCTTTCCAGGACTTTGCCTTTTGCGCTGGTCAGCTCAGCAGCTACTGGACTGTGGGAGCAGTTGGTAAGATGTTCAGCTTAAAGATAAAGTTCAAAATGAAAATGAAAATTCTGTCATTTACATTACTACAGCATCCACTACTGTCATATTGCATGATATTCCACCAATCGGATCATATTTGGTGAGTGTCTTTGTACAGTATGCAGTGGTGAAAGTGAGTAAAATTTAAGTAAGCAAAATCGGGAAGTATCCCCTAAATTCTTTTAGGGAAATACAGTATTTGGGAGAAGGTAACAGTAATGAAACAAAATAAATTTGAAAGTAAATGCATCACAGCAACTGTATATGCATTCTCATGCTCTTTGTTTTCAGACAACGTGATGGAAGACATGGATGTTGATCTAGAAAAAGAGTTTCTGCATGACTTGAAAGACTTGAAGTTTTGGTTAATGATAAAGACATGCTGGACCAACACAAAAGGCATGTAAATAATTTGTTCAGATGGTCATTATTTGTAATGCTGATGACACGCTATCTTTAACATATCTCTCCTTTCTACAAACATTATAGCTTGGTATGTGCACAGCTTAGAGGAAAAATGTAAGTCTTTAGTGAGATGGAGGCCAGTTTTAAGGTGAGAAGCATGAATGTTTTTAATTGTAAACATTTTTCATTCTTTTTTTTTTTTTATAATATTTTTATTCAGCAAAGGCACCTTCAATTGATCAAAAGTGACACTAAAGACATTTATAAAATTATGAAAGATTTCAATTTCAAATAAATTATTGTAGTCTTTCTATTCATCAGAGAGCCCTAAAAAGCCCTATTTTAAAATGATTTAAGGATCATTTGACACTGAAGACTGGAGTAATATACACATATTTTGTGTTTATTATTTTGTCTTATTCATGTTGGATTACATGGATGCTTATTGCTGTGGGTGAACTTCAGAACTTGTCAAGAGCTCTAGTTAACATCGCCTCAAAACTCACACACACCAAAGACGTCCGAGATCTGTTCATCGAGCTTGTGGTGAAGGTAATGCACTGACACTGGAGATAAACTGTATGCCATGAGGTGATATTTGTCCTTGAATACTCCCAGGTTGAGTGTGACTGAGTGATTATCGTTTCTTCTCTCAGTTCATTGAACCGTGCCGGTCAGATAAATGGACTATTGGAGATCTCAGACTTTTCCTCACGCACTACAGCAGCTCTGTACACACACTTGAGGCTTTCAGGTTAGTATATATGCATTTATGTGTGTTTGTGATCTTTCTCATGTTTAAAAAAAAAAATCTAAACATATTTTTTTTCCTCAGGCATCAAGTAGTATGGGACAGATACATAGGTGTCATCAAAAGCTGCATCCTGAAAATGTATCATGACTAGAACGTATTTCCATTGCTGAATATTTGAATCTTTCTTCAAACCTTTAACAAGCCAGTTGCCCTCTCATTTGTAAATGTTGCTACCTCAGCTCCCTTTGTATATCAAAGTATTCTTGTACGGTAGGTTTAACTTAATTAATAAAAAAGTGTTTTCCACAAATCTGCCTTGTTACTTGTTATTCAGGGTAATACATAAAAGTTTTTTATTGGAATCTATGGATCCATAAAGAACCTTTAAATTCCATGGAACCTTTCCATTGCACTAAAGTTTCCTTATAGTGGCAAAAAAGGTTCCTTACATTATTAATGGGATAGTTCACCAAAAATTAAAATTCTGTCATTAATTACCCTCATGTCGTTCCAAACCCGTAAGACCTTAGTTTATCTTCAGAACACAAATTAAGATATTTTTGATCAAATCCGAGAGCTCTCTGACCCTGCATAGACAGCAACACAACTGACACGTTCAAGGCCCAGAAAGGTAATAAGGACATTGTTAAAATAGTCCAAGCTACGAGAATACTTTTTGTGCTCAAAGATAACAGGGCACTATTGTGAGCGCGCAGCGAAGACTGACACGGAAGAGAAGAAATTGTTGAATAAAGTCTGTTTGTTTTCTTTGTGCACAAAAAGTATTCTCGTAGCTTCGTAACATTACAGTTGCACCACAGATGTCACATGGACAATTTTAACGATGTCCTTGCTACCTTTTTTGGTCTTGAACATGTCAGTTGCATTGCTGTCTATGCAGGGTCAGAAAGCTCTCGGATTTCATCAAAAAAGAAGAAACAAATCCATTATTAAGGCGTTTATACTTTAAACTGTCACTTCTGGCCAAAAGACAAGTCTATAATCCGTAATAATCCAGTAAAATAGTCTCACTCATCTCACATCAGAATCCACCACTATATTTTTTAAAGATATTTTTCACTTGTAAACAGTGCTTGATCTGTGCATATTTCTCTCCTAATTCAGACGAATTCACTTTTTACTCGGCAAAGCAATTTGATAGAGGAATTTTTTAACATGATTTTAAGTTAAAAACATTTATTACAAAAACAATTTTTTTGAATTGATGGACTGGAGTTAATGTGGATAACTTGTGGATTATTGTGATGCTTCTATTAGATGTTTGTACTTTTGTTCTGACGGCACCCATTCACTGCAGAAGGTCCATTGGTGAGCAAGTGATGTAATGCTAAAGTTCTCCAAATCTGTTCCGATGAAGAAACAAACTCAACTATATATTGGATTGCCTGAAGGGGAGTCAATTTTCATTTTTGGGTGAACTATTCCTTAAGAACTGTTCACTGAAAGGTTCTTTGGGGAACCCAACAATGGTTCGTCTGTGCCATTGCTGTGAAAACCCCCTTTTGGAACCTTTATTTTAAAGAGTGTAGAGGAGGGTAATTACATGTGATCAGTGTTTTCCCACAGTGGAGTAGCTACCTGTTTGTGTGCCCAGCGGGTGTGGGTCAGCAGCAGGGGGCTACAGTATGCTGGTCAACTCTGAAGTGAATGGATGAGGAGACACTTTTACTACCTTATAAATGGCCAGACCTAGGACAGCTGTCACCCCCTACAAATGGTCATGGAAAATTCCTCAGAATTTCTGCAGAAGAGTCCTCATGGGAACTTTCCCTGGCACTCCTGCTGTTTCTGAAAGTAGGCTACCTCTGTTGTTTCCATCAAAGCCATTGTCTTAATGGTGCTCAAACCTTTGTGTAATGAAGACGCATGATGTTCCTGGCACCGGTTAGTGTTTTACAGTTAAATCGGGAGGCCTTGCCTCCTTTTTTACCCTGTTAATTTGTGCCTGCATTCCTTTTCGACATCCCCCAGTAAATATCCAGCAGTGTCAGACACAAGCGAGCTCCACCAGGATGAAAGTTAATAAGCCAAGCAAAGACAAGTGTATTCAAAATGGGAAGTAATTAAGGCCAACGAATTGCAGGATTTGCCTAATATAACCCAGATTGATTGGTTTGCCTTTCCCCCCCCCCCTTGAGTGATGGATTTGGTATTTGTTCTGGAAACAAGGAATTTGAATCCTTGATTCCTGGATGAAAAACAAGGCAGGAGGGTGAAGGGTGGCTGAGATGCAGGGGCCGTTCAGGAGTGGGAGGAGGGAAATAAGTGGGACGTCCTAAGCTCCTTTCTATAGCATTGCACCTTTCCTCACATTCGTAATACACTAGCTATCACTGCTCAGGTCCTGTCTTTTGTCACAGAGCTCTAATCCGCTAAACGAAGAGGGAGAGAGAAATCAAACGAGACCACTTCTGCTAGACAGACTTCAAAAAGTGAGTTTCAAACCATCTGTATTTGACTCCTGTGCACTTGAAGTTTGTAAAATTGAGCATAGCAGTACATAATACAAGTGAGATTAGTCAAGCATACTTGGAGAGAAAGGCATGTGATAAAGCATGCATGAGAAATGTATCATTCCAGGACGTTATGCTCATTGTTGCCTTGTAATAATGAAATGAGTGACAGAAATTAGTCAATGCTTTGCCGTCATGCCTAGATGTGACAGAAACCTTTAGTTTGAATTGGAAACAGTTGTATTTAATGATTACATGAGTTCAGACACTGGCCATGTTTCTGCCTCTTAGGCAGGCCAATTCTGCTGTTCCAGAACAAACAGTAGAGCAAGTCCATAGAAATCAATGTAAAGTCATGTCACTGTTTTTATAAAGGACATATAAAAAAAGTGATGTACAAGAGCAATTAAAATGGTATAATGCATTTAACCGTAAAAGCAAACCCTCAAAGCTACAGATAAAGCTCATCTTTAATCTTGAAATGTGAGTGTAGGCAGAAGTAGATGTTATTATGAGAGTCCAGGAGGGATAATGATGGCTGAGGAGGTCTATGATTTGTTTTACAGCTATAAAAAATAATGAGGCCTTAAAAGAAATGCCTTACTATGATAAAAGACAGGTGAAATACTTTTCTAGCAGCAGCATTTTGGACAGTATAAAGTCCCATGTTCTACATTGTAAAAAGTGGTAACCTGCAATTATCTCAAAGAGATATTTATTATCTCAAAGAGAACCCATAATTAGTTTTGTTGGTGTAAAGTATGTGATGTGAAGGTAAATAGTATATTGTATGTGACTTGACTAAAACCAGTTAATTTAAATACTCTTTTTTTATCGTACAGAAGTCAGGATGAGATGAAGGTGTGAATAACTATCTCCAGATCAATGAATGTGAGGAATGGAAAATCCGTCATGCAATATCTGATTATATGCACCAACTTGCCTTGCTTCCAAGAACTGCCTAGTTAGCAAGATCAAAATCACTGCACAAAACCCCAAACTCACATTTATCACTTATCATATATGCCATGGAGTAATATTTGTTGAAGAATTACAGCCATGTTAATGTAAACCTAATCTCACTATGATAAAAAGAGTGGGAGTTTCTGGTCTGGTTCATGCAGGTTTGTGCTGGTCTAGCTGGTGGACAATGCTATTGTAAACACTTGCAATTGGTTAAAATTAGTTAATGCATCACACAGTATTCAGCATATTCACAATATTCTTAATCTTGATCTAAATTAATGTTTATTTTTACATATGCTAATACATTTCAGTATTTCAAGTTGTATAAATTAACATTAATGTATTATTATCAATCATGAATTAAGAATTTTATGTTTTTATTTATTTGTATTTTTATTTTGAATTAGTTTTTATTTTTACATTTTCGGTTTTTATTTGAATTTAAAGTTTTAGTAATTTTGTTGTGTTTTTTTTTTAAACACGTCTATATAGTTTTTATTAATTATTGTTTTAGTTATTTTAGTACATCAAGTTAAATTAAAGTTTAAAAAAGTTAAATTTAATTAAATATTTTATTTTAATACAGATACACTTTTATTTCAAGTAACGAGAATTGTTTATTTTTTTAATGGTTTTACAGTAGATTTAGTTAACATAATAATTCTGACCTAGAAAAATTAAATGCTATAAAAAACTAAACGTTATTGCACGTGTAAATTGTACAGCTAGTTAAGCTAGTTAACAATCCAAACGGGGACACCAGCACACCAGTATCCAAAGCAAAACATATGGAGGTGGTCAGCAATGCTGGCCTTTTCAAGAGATCACTTTCACTGCTTCCAAATGTTTATGTTGTGTACTATTCCTGTTAACACGTTTATTTGCAATTACCTTTGTTGTTCTTTTTTTACAAGGTCTCACCCCTACCTGTCTGTCTGCCCCCTCCTTATTTTCCTCGAGGAGACGGCGGGAACTGAACAGACCCCCATTGCACGTCTGTTCTCGCTCTTATTGGGCCTCTTTGGCGCGAGAGTGTGCCTTAACGACAACTATACATTTGTTCATCCGTCCAGCTGTGTGTGTGTGGCAGGGTGAATGTCCTGTACCCTGTAACTATGAAGGCCACATATGTGCTACTTTGCGTGGGTCTGGTTGTTCTTCCTGCTACAATCTGTCAGTCTCCTGCTGAACGTGACTCTTACACAGTAAGTAATTGTGACAATTTCTCCCTGTTCTTCTCTCTTCCTCTTCAGTCTTCCTACATGCTGGAACATGTACTTGTCTATCTGCCTTCCTACGTAACTTGGCATATATAGTGTGCTATTGTATACTATCAGACATCAGTTTGCATTAGAAGTCATGTTCCTGTCAATAAAAGTGTTTGAGTTTGATGCTACATAATAAAGTGTGTTTTCTCTGCCAGGAGTGTACAGATGGCTATGAGTGGGACGTGCAGACTCAACTCTGTCGAGGTGGGTGGAAGGTCATGTGCCAGAGAAAGAGAGAGAGAAAGTGATGCATTTCTCCTCTAATTATCTTGTTGGTTAAATGTCACATGCACATCCCTCTGTCCTGCCCCTGTGTCTGGCTGCATCTCTGAATGTTAAAATACTCTGTACATTAAGCGCAGACGATTAAAAGAAGCTGTAGATATAAAGCTGAGCAGGGTAGCCCCGCCCACTGTCAAGTCTTATTGGTCTAAAATCCTGCTTCATATAAATGTCTAATGGTTAATATAAATTATGTATCGATGTTAAAATACTTTCTGTCCCAGTTTAATATTCTAGATATACAGCATATCTTAAACCAAGCACAATGCAATAAAAACTTAAATGAGCAACAAGCAATAAATTAATTTGATCTGAGATTTTGCCCTAACCAAGAAATAATGTTGTTGGTTGATTGGCCCCTTTTTCTGCAGCTTGTGGTAACTCCACCCATTTTGAAATCTGATGTGTTTTGATTGGTTAATAATATTGCGTGGACATACAAAACTTTTTTTTTTTTTTCATTTTTTTAAGACCAAAATATACCTGTTAACTTCATGGTTCTCATCATTTTATTTGGTAAAATTTGTATATATGTAGACGATTCTTTTTGGTTGATTTTTATTTAATGTTTAATGGCTTTCTTAAAGTGATAGTTCACCCAAAAATGAAAATTCTGTTATCATGTATTCACTCTTGTGTTGTTCCACTCCTGTACGACTTGTGTGGAACACAAAAGAAGATATTTTAAAGAATGTTGATGGTAACCTAACAGTTTTGGTTTAAAAAATGGTACAATTTCTCAAAATATTCTTTTATGTTCCACAGAAGAAAGAAAGTCATTCAGGTTTCGAAGGGTTCAGGTTTCGAGATCTCTTTAAGAAAGCCAATAAATAAATAAAAATCAACCATAAAGAACTATCTACATATATAGTGGTGGTCTCTTGAAGCATCTTGGAGACGTTGCCACAGTTCTTCTGGATTTAGTCTGTCTCAGTTTGTTCTGTTTCTTCATGTCATTCCAGACAGACTGGATGATGATCAGATCAGATCTCTGTGTGGATATATATATTAAATTTAAGAAAATTGCTTGTTACCTTGCAAAAACCTAAATTCTGTTCTCTGTTTTACTTAGACATAAACGAGTGTGAGACTATCCAGCAGGCTTGTCAGGGAGAGATGAAATGCTTTAATCACTATGGTGGTTACCTGTGCCTTCCTCGCTCCGCCACTGTGATCACCGCACCTGAGCCCTCCAGCCAGTCAGAGCCCAATGTGCCTGTGGAGAGTAATGAGGCCTTTAACCCCTGTCCCGTAGGCTACAGGGCCCAAGGAGATACCTGTGTGGGTGAGTTATTTAAGGCCAAATGCAGGCAAAGTCTATTCATGTGGTTTTAGATTGTATTTGTGCATCAGTATGATATCCTAAAGCTCTTCCTCATGTTTTGGACAGACATCAATGAGTGTGAATTGGACATGCATGACTGTCAGCCCAGCCAGGAATGCATCAACACTGTGGGCACCTACACCTGTCAGTGCCCTGACGGCTACAGCAAGATTGGCATAGAGTGTGTGGGTAAGAGAATAAATTACGTCTTTAATTGCCACTTTCACAATTCAAGATTCAATTCAAGATGTATTTTGCAGTGAAGTATCAACATGGTCAATTAAATTTAGCATAAGATTACGCTTCTGTTCCGCAGTCTATAGTAAGTATCTCCTCTCATCTGTTAAGATATCGACGAGTGCAGGTACAGGTACTGTCAGCATCGCTGTGTGAACGTGCCAGGATCTTTCTCTTGTGAATGCGAGCCTGGCTTCCAGCTGGTGGGAAACAACAGATCCTGTGTTGGTAAGTCCTTAAACAACATACATTTTCCAGCAACCAAAATTTGCTTACATGCTAATTTAATTATAGAAGTTTGACAAGTTAATCAAAACTCAAACATAAAAATTCTGTAATTTTTTTCAAAACCAGGTCATTTTCTTTATCCCATGGAGCATGAAAGGAACAGAAAAGTAGCTTAAAATTAGCATAAAAATTGGTTCATATGATTTGTGCTCTATATCATAGCAGGTTACACTTTATTTTAAGTTGTCCTTGTTACACTGTAATTTTACATTTAAGTACTGAGTAATATTAATTAACTACATGTACTTACAATATGGTTATGGTTAGGATTAGGGTTTGGCTTATGGTTACTTGCATGTAATCATGCATGATTTATTGTTATTATAATAGTAAGTACATGTAATGTGTAACAAGGACACCTTAAAATAAAATGTTACCTGATAGCATTGTATGAGGAACACACCGTGTTTGATGTCAGTGAACATCATTTTGTGTAAATTTGTAATGTTTGTTGTGATTGATGTCCACATGTATTTCAGGGCAAATAACAATTTAAATTAAGTTTTTTCCTTTAAAACCAAAACAATTTTTTTTAAACAATTAGTTTTTAAAACCAAAACAATTGTATAACTTCAGAATATTTTGGAATATACAGTAGCACACAAGTTATATGTACTTTATATGTATGTTTTATGATACAGTCATGGTGCTTTGGAAATCAGCAGCACCTAATACATAAGCACATAATATGTGACCCTGGACCACAAAACCAGTCTTAAGTCGCTGGGGTATATTTGTAGCAATAGCCAAAAAAACATTGTATGGGTCAAAATTATTGATTTTTCTTTTATGCCAAAAATCATTAGGATATTAAGTAAAGATCATGTTCCATAAAGGTATTTTGTAAATTTCCTACCGTAAATATATCAAAACTTAATTTTTGATTAGTAATATGCATTGCTAAGAACTTCATTTGGACAACTTTAAAAGCGATTTTCTCAATATTTTGATTTTTTTGCACCCTCAGATTCCAGATTTTCAAATAGTTGTATCTCGGCCAAATATTGTCCTATCCTAACAAACCATACATCATTAGAAAGCTTATTTATTCAGCTTTGAGATGGTGTATTTTAATTAAACAAAATGACCCTTATGACTGGTTTTGTGGTCCAGGGTCACATATTATCTAATGGTTATTTTTAGGATTGATTCTTTATAACAATGAACTAATCTTCCCAGAAATGAGCAGGGAGTTTTTTTGACAAACTAAAGAGAACTGTGTGTGTGTGTGTGTGTGTATATATATATATATATATATATATATATATATAATGTTTTATTTTTATCACCATAAACCAAGAACACTGCACATGTGATTGTTTTATTATTATTTTTGGGTGAACTATTGCTTTAATGCTGTCTATTCAGATTTTTTTCAGTACACAAGTTTCTAAAATCTTTCTTCTTTGTTATCAGATGCAAATGAGTGTGAGATGGGAGCACCTTGTCAGCAAAGGTGTTACAACAGTTACGGTACGTTCCTGTGTCGCTGTGATCAAGGCTATGACCTGGGACCCGATGGCTACTCATGCAATGGTTAGTGCAAAAGACATAACCCTAATAGTTTTTGACCAATTGACGATGTGCTTAGTGTAATTGGTTTTCTTTCTCTCCTCCCAGATATTGATGAGTGCAGCTATTCCAGTTTCCTTTGCCAGTTTCAGTGTGTGAACGAGCCTGGAAGATTCTCCTGTGTTTGTCCAGAAGGTTACGAGCTAGTTGGAACACGACTCTGCCAAGGTATTGAAACAAAATCCCTTTTTCTTTTTACATTCGACTCTTATAATCACATTTCACTTGGTTTCAGTTTGTCATAAGAATTCTGTGTGTAGATGTGAATGAGTGTGAGACAGGCGCTCATCAGTGTGGGGAGGGACAGGTCTGTGTGAACATCCATGGTGGACATAAGTGTGTCGGCTCTAACCGATGCCAGGACCCCTACGTCCAGGTCTCAGAGAAGTGAGCCATTTCCATTGGTTTAAAGGCAACTTATAATTGAATCAAAATCCTATTTTGACACTTTTCAGTATTTAACACCCCTTTCCCTTTTTCCTCGTGTCATTTTGTTTCGGTCCAGTCGTTGTATATGTCTGGTGGTGAAGCCAGAGTGTCGTGACCTGCCCTTCTCCATTGTGCATCGATACATGAGCATCACCTCCGAGCGCTCCGTTCCCTCCGACATCTTCCAGATCCAGGCCACCAGTGTCTATCCCGGAGCCTACAACTCCTTCCGCATTCGTTCTGGAGACGAACATGAAGAATTCTACATACGGGTTAGTCAGAGACACACAACACCCTTTAAACATTAGTTTCATAACTTGTGTGATCGAGTAAATACTGGTGAAAATGGTTCTGTTTTGCATTCTTTTTTTATTATATTACATTCATTTGGGTTCATGTGGGTCATGTTTTTGAAAGAAGTCTCTTATGCTTTGATCAAAATACAGTAAAAACTGTAATATTGTGAAATACTATTACAAGAATTTTAACGATTGTTTTCTGTTTTAATATATTTTAAAATGTCATTTATTCCTGCAATGGCAAAGCTAAATTTTCAGCATCATTACAAATGACCCTTATGACTGGTTTTGTGGTCCAGGGTCACATATTATCTAATGGTTATTTTTAGGATTGATTCTTTATAACAATGAACTAATCTTCCCAGAAATGAGCAGGGAGTTTTTTTGACAAACTAAAGAGAACCTAAACAGAACATTCTCAGTTTAATTTTAGGGTGTATATTATAACCAGGGAGTTTTTTTAGCTAAATTTTCAGCATCATTACTCCAGTCTTCAGTGTCACATGATCCTTCAGAAATCATTCTAATATACTGATTTGGTGATCATGAAACATTTCTCATTATTATCAATGTTTAAAACAGCTGTGCTGCTTAATAATTGAATGAAAATCATGTGGACAATTCTGTGACATTTGTACATTTATGATTATTTGATGAAAAGAACAAAATTTATTTAAAATAGAAAAATTTAGCAACATTATATTTGTCTTTACTTCAATAATAACTACGTCTTTAATCAATTTAATGCATCTTTGCTGAAAAAAGTTTTATTTTAAAAAAACAAAACATAATGGCCCCAAACTATATTTTATTTTATTTTATTTTATACTTGATCACATATTTGTTTATATTGGTTAGTTATTTAATATAGTGCAGAATCTTAAATATTTTTATCCTATTTAACATTAACATTTACATTTAGTCATTGAGCAGACGCTTTTATCCAAAGTGACTTACAAATGAGGACAATGGAAGCAATCAAAATCAACAAAAGAGCAATGATATACAGTACAAGTGCTATAACAAGTCTCAGTTAGCTTAACGCAGTACATGTAGCACGTTTTTATTTTATTTTATAATAAATAAAAAGAAAACAGATAGAATAGAAAAAAATTAGAAAAGCTAGTGTTCGTGTTTTTTTTTTTTAAGGAAACAAGCAGTTAGTAAATGAATAGAGTGCAAGTCTAAAAGGGACAATGAAAGTGATTTTGTGCCTCTTTGGGATGGCACAATAATACGCCGTTCACTTGCAGAATGCAAGCTTCTAGAGGGCACATAACTCTGAAGTAATGAATTTAGGCAGCTATTGGTAGCCAGTGCAAACTGATAAACAGAGGTGTGACGTGCATTCTTTTTGGCTCGCTAAAAATTAATCTTGCTGCCGCGTTCTGGATTAATTGTAGAGGTTTGATAGACCTGCCAAGAGAGCATTGCAATAGTCCAGCCTGAACAGAACAAGAGCTTGAACAAGGAGTTGCGAAGCATGTTTCGAAAGAAAGAGTTATTTAACCTGTTCAATTCTTTGTTTGAAGCTGAGTTTTAAGCTTTGAAAATCCCAAAACGTTCATTCTGAGTTTAAATGAAAAATCTCGGATTCTCCTACTTTAGAACTCATTTATTTTTGTCATTTCTTGTTCCTAGCAAATCAACAACATCAGTGCCATGCTGGTGTTGGCCAGAGCAGTGACGGGACCGAAGGAGTACATCCTCGATCTGGAGATGGTGTCTGTCAATCCTCTCATGAACTACCAGACCAGCTCTGTTCTGCGTCTCTCCATTTATGTTGGGCCTCATGCTTTCTGAGGAGAGAGAGATGGAGAGACAAACGTAGGAAAAACACTGTATGACAAAAGATTTTTTTTTTTTTATTCAGTCTATTTCTGCTTTTATGTGTTGAAATTTGGCAGCACAGTTCCACAATTCACCACCTAATGATGTGAAATCATCTTTTTTTGTGGCTGACTTTGGCCGGTGACTGCAGGCCTATTCTGGGAAGCGCTAAAGCATCTGAACATTCATTCCTCTCACTTTGTCATTCTCACACATACATGCAGCATACAAACACACACCAAAACACATATCTGCTGCAGATATATCAGAAAGATATAATTAGTTATTAGTACCAGCTAACAAATATATGTTTCTATAAGCCTTGAATGAAACATGAACAGAACAAATTTCTTTGTAAATATTTAGTGAAACCAGTTTTACATAAATTGTTGTATTTTCTTTAATGCTTATTGAATTCAAGACTCCAAAATTAAATCAATAATTTTTTTTTTTTTTACTAAATTACATTGTTATGGGAATACATTAAAAAATAAAAAATATATATTCTAATCCTCCCTTCACATCTTTGTTTTTATGATCTTCTTCCTCTATTTTTCCTTTCTTGTCTGTAAGCTGAAAATATCCCATTTTATGTACATGCTAATAATTCGGTTAAAGTTTCTGTTGATTGTGAGCGTTTATGATAAGCATAAATGAAATGTATTACTCCGGTGTCGCCACATGGTGACAGTGTAACACTGGAGCACACATGCTGAGTTTTACCGTTTTTTGCTATTACCTGAAAGAACCATGATTACAGTTGGGTTTAAAGGGTTAGTTCACCCAAAAATGAAAATTAGCCCATAACGGGGGGTGAACAAAGGCCTCCTGTAGCGAATCGATGTGTTTTTGTAAGAAAAATATCCATATTCAAAACGTAATAATCACTTTAATGTAGCTTGCGCCCACTGTTGTACACTGGAAGCAGTTCCGTATTGTACTTGTTTAATTAAGTTTTTACGTTCTCTTCTGCCAGGCTTGGGAGGGGGGGCTTGAGATCATTGCAGGGGGGGCTAAGCCCCCCCAAGCCCCACCTTGACGCCGGGCCTGCTCATGCGTCATTCCCCCGGAACTGCTTCTGTTTACAACAGTGAGCGCAAGCTACATTCAAGTGATTATTACGTTTTGAATATGGATATTTTTCTTACAAAAACACATCGATTCGCTACAGGAGGCCTTTGTTCACCCCCCGGAGCCGTGTGAGACACTTTTTTTTATGGATGGGCGCATTTTATTGAACTGCTTTAGGACTGAAGCACTGCAACACTAGCTGAGTGGCATGAAACAGCTTGAAAGATCAAAGGCAATTTTTAATATAACTCCGACTGGATTCGTCTGAAAGAAGAAAGTCATATACACCTAGGATGACTTGAGGGTGAGTAATTTATGGGCTAATTTTCATTTTTGGGTGAACTAACCCTTTAAGGGCCAAAGATAACTCAAATAAATGTCACATTTATATATTTTTTTTAGTTATGGTATTTTAGGGCTACTGTACTTTGAAACTACTGTACCTAACAATCATTTTTTATTTTGGAAATCCTATGTATTTACTTCAAGATATAGAAAGCTTTAAAGCTGTCCTGTAGATTTAAATTGACCATATTCATTGACAAAAAGTAAAGACAGGACAAGTTAATGAATAAAAAGAAACAGGATAACTACAATCTAAAAACCGATACCTTTAAATGCTAAAGGTTTGTGTTTTTGCAGGCCATTCGTTAACATAATTTCATCAATGGACTGGTCATCTCACACTTGTTTTGGGGAAAAAAACCGAGTAGTAAGTTCTGTTTGAGTCAGTGTCTGATTTATGCTATGTGTGTGAAAGGATCTGTATGTTAATTACAACGGCATGCAGTGTATTGTCAAGCGATAAGTGTGAATTTAGCCTGGTGTAGCTCCAGCAGGGAAATGATGAGCTCATTGATGGTCAGTGTTGGCACAGAGGGCTTGTGGGCAGTGCAGCAGATGGATGTAGGTGTGATAGGAGTAGCTGAGCTCAGTGGCAATCATATCAGATGATGCTGTAATATTTTACATTCTTCGGTTTTCTAAGACTTCGAAGGTCTTTCTCCTGTGGAACACAAAAGAAGGTGTTTTGAAGAATGTTGGTAACTAAACAGCTTTTGTTCCCAATGGACGTCAATGGGAACCGGAACTCTTTTGTTATCAACATTCTTTAAAATATCTTCTATTGTGTTCGGCAGAAGTAAGATGTGCATACAGGTTTGAGTAAATGATGACAGAATTTTATATGCACTATTTTTAATCTATTTTGTTGTGACTATGACCGCTTCCAATGAAAATGTAATTAATATATGTTACATTAGCCTTTACATTTGTTTAAAATTAAATAGCTGTTTATAAATAGCCGAATGTTCTCTAACAATAAACAAGGTTAGTTATTTTCATTAGCAGAGAGGAAAATCGGGGCTTTGGAGCTATTTTTGTGGTTTAGAAGAGTAATGTTACAGTAGGTTATAAGGAGAGTAATTTTCCTGTCCACCCCCTCAAATACACGTCACAATCGGGCCATTAAAACATATTATTCTCTGATCACCATGAATGACTGAAACAACACATGTACACTCTTGTCGTGAAATTCGAAATATTACCTTTCCCCTCATTTTTGTTGGTAATTTGAACTCATTTCCATCCCACACAGATCAGGTTTACAAGATGACAAGGTGAAAAATGTTTCTTTAAAGCAGAAAGAATCATGCAACGTGACCTTCCAAGTAATTTAATGTGCTCTAAAGGTGTGAAAGCAATGATAAGGTGAGTTTTTGTGTCAAAGAAGCTTGTTACATTGCCAAAAAGTGTGACTTTTTAAACATATAGGAAGATTTCTCTTTACTTTTGGTTTTAGGATATTTATAAATGTCACTTAATTAATGGAGGTTAAATGTTGCGACTTCTTCTGTTCGGTTCAAATTGGTGGTGTGCTTGAGAACAACCATCATTTCGCATCTCTTGCAATGTGCAAATTTTGTTACTAAGATACTGCAGCTCCGTTGCCATGGGTGCAGAGATACAGAGATGGTCAAGTATCAGCTACTAGTATAAACCCCTAAATAAAAATTTAAAAAAGAATAGAAAAAGACACAAAGACAAGGATACTACAAGTGAAACACACTGTGCATTTCGTTACCAACATTCGGTTTTGATCACATTCTGTGGCAACATATTGTCCTGAATATGGAGTCCAAATTAGGATGGATTTTTTTTGTGCCATACACAGCATAAGCCAAGAAGACCTTGAGATTTTTCCTGGAAAGCTGCTATTTCTTCGTGGATTCACTGTGAAATAATTACCCAAGTGTTCTTTCGATTCCTCGAAAATGACCAAAGTTCAATGCATATTAAAAGACGTCCATGTGAACAGATTATGAGCATTACACATCTTCTCCAAGAAATCCCATCCCCCATCTTTCTGATTTCAGCAGATGGCCGTGCCACCCACGTAATAAACAAAAAAGTCCAGTGGGAGCTCAAGGGTTAGGGTGACAGTTCCCTCTCTGCAGAGATCTGTCTCCCAAGGGCCAGGTCCACATCATCCAGCAAAACTTTTCATCAATATTGATAGCATATGTTCTGAGCGACGTCAAATGCTGTGGCTGTCCAACAGTTCTATCATCCAGCCTCCTATGTGCATCCATTATAGTTCAAAAGCTAAAAGATTTTGTTATTTGATCAGTAATGGCCATAATCGCACAGGCTGGACATAAAAAAAGAGGAAAAAGACAGTATTGAGGCAGATAATGGCAGTCAGATACCACATAGGATGTGAAATATTACAAACAGGAAGTGTGAGTCAGACTTATTTAACCTCAGGACAAAAAAAACAAACAAAAACTGACACATCACCTCTGGAGGTGATGGATGGATGCCAGAACCAAAATACAAGCAGGCATCTGATGCCCCATAGTATTCTCAATTAATGTTCTTTAAAAGTTACAGAAGTCCATCGAACACATATGGATCTGTCTGTCCTTGAGCAGTATATTTAGAATCTTATAGAAAACTGAAAGCGGTTTGAAATAAATGAGCACTGTTGCTGGGTGTTAAAAATAGCCTGAGCGACTAAGGAGAAAGAAAAAAGCAAGCGCAGTTACAAGGCTGCTGTTTGAACAGGCTTCATCAACTGTAGGAGATGTGTAGGCGAGAACTTAGCTCACGTACGATCGCTGTTCGACGTTTAAAACTTTGTAAATGCACAAAATGTATGCATGCACTTCTCTACAAATAAAGAAGCTATAAAGAACCATCTTTGGTTCCCCAATTCATTTTTCAGTGAGCAGTTCTTAAAAGATTTTAAGAAAAAAATTTGATTTGCTGAAAATGTTCTCATCCTCAGGCCATCCAAGACGTAGATGAGTTTGTTTCTTTATCGGAACAGATTTGGAGAAACTTAGCATTGCATCACTTGCTCACCAATGGATCCTCTGCAGTGAATGGGTGCCGTCAGAATGAGAGTTCTGATATAAGAACAGATAAAAACATTTAAATAATCCACAAGACAGACATAAGATATTCATCAAGTTTTTAACTTCAAACCTTTGGGTTCCTCTATTCATAATACTGCTTTCTGTAGTGAAATAGTGTCTCATCTGAATCAGGATGAGAAATATGCACAGATTAAGCACTGTTTACAAATGAAGAAACACAGCTTTTCACATCACAAGATATTAACTGTTGGACTGGAGACATGTGGATTACTTGTGGATTATTGTTATGTTTTTATCAGCTGTTTGGACTCTCATTCTGATGGCACCCATTCACTGCAGAGGATTTTCAGCAATTTTTTTTATTTTTGAGTATATATATATATATAAATCATTTTTTCTTAGTAGCATGAGGAACATTTTAAATATCTAAAGAACCTTATTTGACACTTTTAATGTGATTGAAAGGTTTCATGGACGTTCTTAATGAAATCCATGGATGCCAAAAAAGAGCCTTTATTTTTAGAAGTGTATGGAACTAAAGTCTTAATTTCAGCAATTTTTTTTATTTTTGAGTATATATATATATATATAAATCATTTTTTCTTAGTAGCATGAGGAACATTTTAAATATCTAAAGAACCTTATTTGAGACTTTTAATGTGATTGAAAGGTTTCATGGACGTTCTTAATGAAATCCATGGATGCCAAAAAAGAGCCTTTATTTTTAGAAGTGTATGGAACTAAAGTCTTAATAAGCTCTTAACTACAGTAAAATGCATTCTTGTTATGAATCAATGGGGTAGGTCATGATGTCACAGATATAATTACAGAATAATTTGGCCATATAAAGGGCTCAGCAGATAAGATCCCCACTTTATCACAATATATTGTTTACAAGTGATATGAATCATGACATGGCATGTGACTTTTAATACATGTTACTTTAGATAAACAAAGTTTGTTGAGGTC